ATCCTTTCCGGGGAGTAACGCGTTCGTTCCCCACCATAGACACCTGCGGTCCAGAGTTTTGCAAATATCTCAGCAACGTTGTGGTTGTATTTCGCTTAATAAACACATAGTTTCCTACCCATTGGGTCAATGGAGCAAACAACTGCGGATGCACCAATCATCATATTAGGACTAAGAATACATAATAAAAAGATTTAGCTCTTTAGCATAACACAAAGAAACATGTGAATAGGGAAGCTCAGAGGAGGAAGTTTTCGAACACACGGTTTTAACTGCGCTAATGTAAACGCAACTACATACTGACGTAAATAGAACTAAAGTGCACCCATTGTTGTCTAAAACATTGTCAAAAGTGTTGTATTAGTAGTATCCTGTAGGTGAAAGTGAGTGAAGAATGCTGAATTCCGAACTTTTACGATGACCAAAGCTTATGGACCTTTCCTTTTACAGTAACATGTTGAAAATAAGGAAAACCGGTATCTAACACGTAGTAAAGACAACCAACGGATAACAGAGACCACCGGATTGTTGCTTCCACCGGATGTCAAGCATAAAACTGGAGCAGAACCGGCCGGGTGATTACGTTCCTTCATTAAAATATAACGATCTCCGTGTGCATTATAACGGAACTTATGGGTAACTATGGTACACGGGAAAGGACAAATGCAGACTTTACTAACGCTCTCTTGAATCACTCAGTGATTCAAGTGATACACCATACCTTTCGAGATTTAATGGCAGCGGCCTTGACGTTCATGAGAACAGAGAGCAAAGAACCACAACGCCGACATACGTATGCGACATCGCGATCAGAGCAATTCAGTAAACGATCCTAAAATCCAACACAAAAGAAAGTGCTACTTCAGAAATAAAACCAATAACAATAAACCACAAACTTGCAAAACAAAGGCCGTCCCATGTGCGATAATGGCATCTCTTTCCATTTCGCCAAAACGGATACCACCACCTTTCTTTCGACCTTTAACTGGCTGATGAGTGATAGGATCAATGGGTCCCGTGGACCGAACCTTAACCCAACTGGCTCATTTTTTGAAAGAAATTAAGATAGAGGAAAATTGAATGTTACGTACTCTACACACGAACCTGAAATTTGTCAGCAACCATGTGCCGAAGGCGCTGATAGTAAACAATCCCAAAAAATATTTGCACCTAAAAATTTCGCTAGCAAAAAAATAAGGGGAAAAAGATTATCGAAAATGACAAACCTCCAACTGTCGTCCATCTACTCCAGAATAAAACGTTTCATTTCCGTGATAATTATAACCCGCTCTTAACAATAAGTCACCGAAATGGTCGATGGCAGTACGTTTCTCACTAAAAAGAGAAATTTCTAAACAGTTCACCCATAACTAACTAGTTAACAACGAACTTGAAAACGAAAGGAGACGCATCGTAGATCTCGCCATGCATAGCCGCTGCCTTTCCAGCCATACTTTCTATCATCATACCTAAAAGCCCAAGCATCCAACTTACTCCTGCATCACGTTTAGAAAAAAAAACCATGACAAATTAGTACAGTCCCACCAAAAACTCGTAAAAAGTCACCGATAGTCATCCGACTGGGAAAACCGTGTGGATTAAAGATTATATCGGGCACCATTCCGCTTTCGCTAAACGGCAGATTTTCGACGGGCCAAAGAAATGAGTTAATTCCTTTCTGGCCATGTCGAGAAGCAAACTTGTCACCTATGATGGGATTTCTTTCAACACGCCACTGAATCAGTGCATGCTAAAAGTGATGTTCTTTCAGAATGACAAGAAATTCGTGGGAACTAAGAGTTTGTATCAGAAGTAGTTCATACCCTAGCACCTTCTTCGACGCCATCTTGATGAACAAGTCGTACAATACCACAGTATGCCGGCTCGGCATGATGGAATTTATGTGCTTGGTGTAACCCCGTGTCTTGATTGTATGTCACATAGTACACGTCTCCTAAGAATGGAACAGATCAGAACTTCAAAAGGCTTTAAAAGCAATAAATAGTTTGTCAACGTTGAGTGATCAGTACTGCAATATAAGTGTGAAAGCGAAATAATTATTGCCTACTTGAAGTCACAGTGAACATGTATACCTTCAAAATACCGACGTCCCGGTATTGGAAGTCCGTCGCATGAAACTGTCTTATACGGATGAGTTGGATCCATGCGGAATAAAGTCTTCTTTTCATTGTTCGTAACCAAATTGATCCTAAACCCACAATTTTCGCAGTGGGACTAAAATAAGGAAGTAGAGGCACCTCTCCACTTTTATCACTGTCCCATGTGCAAAACCACGCTGGAAAGACGCTCTGTTGATTACCATAGCATCTTCCATATCATATCCTGAATAATTGTTCTCAGACACCTCTTCTCCAAATTCTGTGCAACAATGTGGACTTGCCGGTATATGAGATAACAGCGACGCATGCATTTGTTCCCGAAGGATAGTCATCCATGCCATAGCGATCATAAGCTTCGAGTTTAACGAGGGGACTTTGAGGAAACTATAATTTGTGAGCAATTATTTATGTAATAATTGACCGATTAAAGGGATTGTAATCGACTACAGCCTCAGTTTAACTGGGTCCAATGCCGATTTCTGCTTCCCAGTTTAATACCGCTGACGGGTGTTTGCTGATGGCAGCGTTAGGCATAAAACTAGCTGAAAAAAATGCGAAGCATGGGTATAAGTGGCACAATGTGTAATACGCGAGCCCACAGAAAGGGTAATCGTCGTTTAATTTGGCCTTGGGTCCAAGTCCTGCGAATATCTCAACATCTCGAAAGACCGCCTTTCTATAAACATCGGCATAGATAGTTGATATATTTATGTGATCTTATAAACTGATCTTCTTGGCTGACGCGAGATTGGTACAGATCTTCGTTGTCGTTGTCCTTGTTTTTGATGTTACTGATCGATGGCTTACGTTTCGGCGACTTCGCTTTCCTCAGAGCCTGAACGTATTTTATATTAGAATATTTTTATCATTCGGTGGAAAAGAAAGGTTAAAGTGTTAATGGAGATCAAACTTTCAAATAGACGCCAGTTCATTTTTGGATTTTTGAAATTTATCCAAAACACCTCAAGAGTTTTGCGCGTTGATGTTTTTGATTCGCTTGAATCACGCATCAGCTTAACACCGGAAAGACGAAAGCCTCACTATCACACATAACCTGTCGCCCTATTTTAAAATGATATTTTGACCCCGGGGTGTGTCTTGCTCGCGACTCCACGAAAACAACGCGTGGGCCAGTCCCGCACGTAACATCACGGTGAGTGGCCTTTCTGTTCAATATAGCGTCTATTTGAAAGTTTGATCTTCATTAACACTTCAACCTTTCTTTTCCACCGAATAATAAAAATATTCTAATATAAAATACGTCCAGGCTCTGAGGAAGACGAAGTCGCCAAAACGTCAGCCATCGATCAATAACATCAAAAACAACGACAACGACAACGAAGATCTGTACCAACCTCGCGTCAGCTTAAGAAGATCAGTTTATAAGATCACATAAATAAATACCTCAACATCGTTGTACTTAAGTAATTGATAGTATAGAATTGATTATGAGAACTCACCTGAAGACGGTACATTTTGTTATCCGCCCTTGTGTGCCACGAATGTACAGCAGTTCCCATAGTCTGTTTACCCATCTGACACTGATAGACATTTCTAAAGAGCGGTTAAGACGTTTTTCGTATTCTTAAAACACTTATAATAAACACGAACCATATTTGGTTATTGTACGAAAAACAAGATGAAAAACACTAAACAGCTACCATGCTGTCAATGAACAAACCGCGGAGATTGGTTATGATCTGGAAACGGAATAAGATTGCCGGCGAAGGAGAACAAACAGCTAGGATGTAGTTCTTGGTGAATAGTGACACCGGGTTCTGCTTCTGACGGATCAATTACTATTGAGAGATAGACCTGCTCAAATGTTCCTAGAAATGATAAAATTGGTTCCCACAAATCTGATGACGATGGAACAACAAAAGAAATGCTCTACAACTAACCAACATACTCCACAGAATCAGTGACCAGATTTCGCACTGGACGTATCAATCGAGCCGGATCAGAAAATATATACAGGCCCGGATACTGAGTTTGTATATTCTTGATGTCTGGCGAATGACGAATTAGTGATATCTTAAATGAGTTTGGTGAATTTCAAAAGCAAGAACTGGACATGGAATGAACGATCCTCCAAAAATTCACTACGTAAACAGAAGCAACAAAACACTACATAGCTATCCTCACCTCGGCTACGTAAGGTACTCTGGAATCTTTTACGTTGGTTTTAACGCAGCGTAGTTGCTTCTCAATACTGGCCGCCTTCCTTATAGGAATGTAACCAAGAAATCGACCATCGAAGAGTACGGAATAATACTTAAGCAACCCAATAGATTGTAGTTGAGAATTCAACAAACATGGATCAACTAACGGACATTGGAAAATGAAAAACAAAATAAACATCTTTTTCTCACCATTTCGGTATCTGAAGCAAAAGCTATTGATTTGTGAGAAAGCATTCCAAGATCTGTTAGATAAGCCGGTAGATCCCTTGTATCCGAATAGTGAGTAACAATACGACAAGAAGCAGTTACGTGATTTAAAAGACCGCAGGGAGCACCTGAAGATCCCACTATGAAAACGAGAATAGCAAGCTATTTTATCCCCAGCCTCTCTGCAAGGAAAAAAGACATGGCACAATATAGTACATTCATTATCTTCCCAGAACAATAAAGGAAGAAGCTGCGAAGTCCTCTTAAAGCACGCAAAAGCGTTACAGATAATATGGCCAACACATAACTTCAATGATGCTGAGATATTTGCAAAACTCCGGACCGCAGGTGTACGCGGTGGGGAATGAACAGGCGCTGTTGTCCTTACCGAGGAGCAGCGCACTTCACCACCACACCATCCGGGTCCATCGTTTTTCCATCGTATCTCAGCTAGTTCTATCGATCTTTTGCAATCAGCAATCACTCGTCAACGGGATTGATCTGGGGGGCCCAAATCGGCAACGAACCCAGTTAAGCTGAGGCCGCAGTCGGCTGCTCCCCGGTAAGGACAACAGCGCGTGTTCGTTCCCCACCGCATACACCTGCGGTCCGGAGTTTTGCAAATATCTCAGCATCATTGAAGTTATATTTCACAATGTATACCCTGCCGTTAAAAAGAATACGCAGTAAATAATACGTTACATGGCCAACATATCTCGAACTATTACTACGACATATCACGGGGAATTTTTGTACTCGATATCATAGTAGAACTATCTTATGCCAATCTTCGCGCTCACCTAGACTCCAAGATCGAACCATTTAGAGGTCACACTTGACTAACGAACAAGAGAAGAAGACATAAACATCCGCGCGTTTTCGGACGGCGTTCTCAAGACCCTTGATCACTACCGCGATAGAAAGTTTATCTCTAACCTTACAGCCGCACAAAAATGTGGCAAGCGGGAAATTAGAGAATTAATAAACTCGAAAACAATAAGATTGTCTGTTAGTGATAAGGGGGGAGAGTTCGTAGTTATCCCTCGCCAGCTGGATGTTGATATAACAGAGGAACACCTTAGTGATGCTACTCTCTATCGCCCATCCTCTGAAAAGGAATATAAAAGTCAATACCGAAAACTAAACAATCAATGGGTCAGCGTGGCAAAGGCTGCGGGTTTAAAATCATCGGTTATTTCGCACTTTAAAATCGATAGACCAACATGCCCCGTCCTATACCTACTTATTAAAACACATAAGTTGGTATCACCTGATGATCATGCGTCAACCAATCCGTCATCATTTAAGGTTAGACCAATCATCAGCTGTGTAGACGGGCCAACGGATAGAATAACCTGGTTTTTAAACCTGATACTCACCCAGTTGCTTAACCACATTCCAGCTCACCTCACAAACACCCAAATGTTCCTGGAACGTCTACGTAACGCGTCTTCCAATAACGCGTACGTGATGGAGTCTTTCGACGTTACCGCACTGTACACCAACGTACCGAATGACTCCGCAATGCAAGCCATCTTCGAACTTCTTGTTGAACATGAAGGAAGAATAAATATGCATGGCTTGTCCATCCAGCAGCTAATGGCTCTCTTAAAGGAGTGCCTAAACTGCTCGATCTTCAGATGGTCTGGGAAATACTTCGCGCAAATAAGGGGGTTGGCAATGGGACAGCGATTGGCACCAGGCCTAGCCATTGTGTTTATGTCTAAGATAGAAGCCCCTGTTCTCGATCTCCGGCCACTACTCTACTGCAGATATGTAGATGATTGTTTTGTCGTCTTCTCTACGCAGGAGGAGATGGACAAATGCTTCGAATTATTAAACGAGCAGTCCGAGTACATAAAGTTCACCCGGGAGAAACCGAGAGAAAACTGGCTTCCGTTTTTGGACGTCCAAATAAACCTATCAAGTAGCGGTTACCTGACAAAGTGGTACCGAAAGCCAAGTAACAAGAACATCCTTGTCCATTTCCTTTCTTCCCACCCTTCACACACAAAGAGGGCGATTGTGAGAAACATGTTTCGAACAGCCACCTCTGTGTGCACTACCACGGAACTGAAGGAAGAA